TATAGCGTGTTCCGCTATAGATGACCCGGATGTATTCACTAGTTGGCTTTTCTTAGCGGTCGGATTTAAAATTCTGGGGGGTAAATGTTGTTTAATTGTAAAATCCAGACGCTGAGACGTTCTGCCTATGTAGTCACATCCGCAACCACATTTAAATTTATATATAACTGAATTAATATGAAAGGGAGGCAGAAAATCCTTGCGCCTGAAGAAAGAATTGGTCGAGTAAAAATATTACTCGCACATTAGCAGCATAAAAACACTTACTAACGGAATGTGAAATTCGCCTTGCTAGTTTTCACCTTCTCTGCCAATGTAAGGAAGTCGTAAATAAATTGGACATTTCTTAACAACATACGGTCTATCCTTACTAAATTTATCAATGACATCATGCATAATGGAATCCAAAATGTCCAACGGATACCCATTTTTAGAAAGAGTCATTTTATAAAGTCCAATTCACCGTAGAGGAAGGAATTTGAGCAAATTTTAAAAGCTCGAAAAGTCAACGTTCTAATTAAATTAATTTTTTCGTTGACGTGGACAAAAAGAGTCCCAACGGACATATAAACCTGAAAAGGTAGCCTTCTAAATACTGAAGTCCAATAGCCATCATCACCTCTACGGACCAAAACATCCAAAAGGGAAGACAACAATTAGACTCCTTTTCTACGGTAAATTCTAAGGACGAATGAACAGAATTTAATACAGAGAAAAAGGTATTGGCTTCACCCTCATTATCAAAGAGGCAGAAAATATCATCCGATGATACATCAGAGGTCGATTAATTTGTGAAAACAGTAAAACCTCATGAAAACCAACAAAAATATTAGCAAGCGTAGGACCCAAAGGCGATCCCATCGCTACACCGTCTATTTGACGATACATAATATCACCAAAGCTAAACTCTACAGACGTAGTGGCGAACTTCATAAGTTCTCTAAATATACCCTCAGAAAAATCCGGAGGACATAGAGAAGAGCGATATAACATATCACAACAAAGGGACACAGGTAAATAAAGACACAATATCAAAAGAGCACATGAAACCACCGCTAGAGGGAACACTGTGTACAGATTCAACAAATGTAAATGAATCCTTAACACAGTATGTGCTAAAATGCAACAAAACAGGTTGCAATAGTATTGAGAGCCAACCAGCAACCTTATGCTGAGCCGACCCAATCATAGATAAAATGGGCCGTAATGGGAAACCATCTTTATGTATTTTCGGCAGCCCATATAAACGGGGACGAATTGACCCAGTGGGCCTAATATCTTCAGAAATAACAGAAGATAATAAACCACCTCTGACCCACTTTAATAATTGTCGTTGAAATTTGGCTTCTATTGAAGCAGTACAATCATGGGTCTCAGCTGGACCTAATTTTAGAAATTTCGATGGATCACCAAGAATATTCTCCATCTTAGAAATATAATCACAAAGGGCCAGAAGAACAACACCGACACCTTTGTCGGGTTTAGTAATAACAAGATTGTGGTTGTTTTTTTAAACCCTTTATTACACGACGGTGCTGTTCACCCCATTTAGAATCAGAAACAGAAACAGATCCAGCATAGGAATGGGCGAAACAGTTAAGTCCAGCCTTAAAATCACTCGGAGACTGAGGAGAGCAAGGTTTAAGTCTATTACCCTGAGCAAACAGAACTTCAAACTCAGAAAATATTTTTTCACGATCCGGCATAGAAAAAGGAATACAAAAGTCCAGACCGTGAGCTAATATAGTAGTCTCAATCTGGGTTGGCTCATAAGAAGAAAAATTAAACAATTCTCTCTGCAGTAGGTTTATGACTGCATCCAAAACTTTTGCGAAACAAAAAATTCTAACTTTGTCTGGTTAGAAAAAGACAATTTATTCACATTATGTTCGCAAATATAGCCAACTAGTCGGGAAAAACGAATCCTGTCAAAAAAGGAAAGTGTTAACATACACTTCTTCCAACAATTCCCAAAATTACAATTGAGAAATAGGATTCTATTAGAAAGTGTTTTTATATAATCCTCAATGAAAATTTTCTCAATTTTTAAGCTTGAATGTAATTTAGATTTTTTTATACGGAATTGAATATGGGAGGGACAAACATGCCTTATCAGACACGTTTTTAGAAACTTAATGTGAAAGTTTAGCCTTTGTATTCGTGTCTCTGACTGTAACAGTTTATCTAAACTACAGATAAACTCAGGTTCGTACCTCCGCTTTAAATATTTGAAAAGATTCTTACAGGTACAAAATTTTATTATGGCAAGGAATAAGCGGAATGTAAAGGACATACTTAGGAAAACTAAGAACTAAAACAAACAACCGGTTTCGTCCCAGTACTCCTCAAGTTTGATACACTGGGATTATTTAATCATAACCTTAAAAACAAAAAAACATTCAATGAGGGGAAAAAAAAAAATTATATATGATAGAAAGAACTAGAGCCTAATCACATTCAAGCCCAACAAGCAATCTCTCTGCTTACAGAGAAACGGCCTGCGGGACTTGATGTAAATGGACTCAAGAACCTTCAAATAATATGCAGAGTGTGACTTCGCCAGAATGGAAAAACAGTCACTCAAACCAGCAACACATTCCTTCCTCTACGGTGAATTGGACTTTATAAAAATGACTCTTTCTAAAAATGGGTATCCGTTGGACATTTTGGATTCCATTATGCATGATGTCATTGATAAATTTAGTAAGGATAGACCGTATGTTGTTAAGAAATGTCCAATTTATTTACGACTTCCTTACATTGGCAGAGAAGGTGAAAAACTAGCAAGGCGAATTTCACATTCCGTTAGTAAGTGTTTTTATGCTGCTAATGTGCGAGTAATATTTTTTACTCGACCAATTCTTTCTTCCAGGCGCAAGGATTTTCTGCCTCCCTTTCATATTAATTCAGTTATATATAAATTTAAATGTGGTTGCGGATGTGACTACATAGGCAGAACGTCTCAGCGTCTGGATTTTACAATTAAACAACATTTACCCCCCAGAATTTTAAATCCGACCGCTAAGAAAAGCCAACTAGTGAATACATCCGGGTCATCTATAGCGGAACACGCTATAACTAGCAGGGAATGTGTTGCTGGTTTGAGTGTTGACTGTTTTTCCATTCTGGCGAAGTCACACTCTGCATATTATTTGAAGGTTCTTGAGTCCATTTACATCAAATCCCGCAGGCCGTTTCTCTGTAAGCAGAGAGATTGCTTGTTGGGCTTGAATGTGATTGGGCTTTAGTTCTTTCTATCATATATAAAAAAATTATTTTTTTTTCCCCTTTCCCCTTCATTGAATGGTTTTTTGTTTTTAAGTTTATGATTAAATATTCCCAGTGTATCAAACTTGAGGAGTACTGGGACGAAACCGGTTGTTTGTTTTAGTTCTTAGTTTTCATGATTGTCCTTTACATTCCGCTTATTCCTTGCCATAATAAAATTTTGTACCTGTAAGAATCTTTTCATATATATATATATATATATATATATATATAATCAATTCAGCCTAAGCAAGTCAATGTCATTAAGATGCTAGAAGTGGGAGTGAAAGAGAATGAGAAGACTTTAGACAAGGACGTAGACAATTGAAACAATATTTTCCAAACCAGTTTATTTAAATTTTGCGTACTTCTTTTACTCGATTTCGCTACAATCTCGATTGATCCGTTATGCGTAGTTTTGCTCTTCCCCCTCTTGCCTTCAGTTGGCCCTGTGAATATCAAAGTTTTTGAGCCCTCTTTCCTCATCCTGTGCCCAGAAATTACAACTGTTTCTTCCTGATCTTAAGTATAAGTTGTCTTTCTGTTGCTATTTTCTCTAATATTTCGTCGTGGTTCCCATTTTCGGTTCATGGTATTTTCCGTATCCTTCTGTTGAAACGTTTCTGTTGCCTCAAATCTCTTCTTCACCTGTGAGGAGATTGTTCATCATTCACTGCCATATAGGAGGAATTATATTACACAACAGTTCCGAGTTTAAATTTTATGTTACGTTTGTAATTTTTTATTAACTGCACAATGATATTTCGACTTGAAGGCACACTGTAAATCAGTGTAATTTCTCATCTTCAGCATGGCTGATCGCTTCCAACCATGCCCATATTGTTCAGGCCCGATTGTGGTTCTTTTAACATCCACAGAACCAACATGTGATTTCTACTTCAGCTATGATGTGCGAGCCTTAGTTGCAATTCAAATATGTACCCCACTAAGGACATATATGGTGTTGACCTCCTTCAACCATGGCTGTCATAGTATTTAATCCATAGCTGAGAGAAGACGAGATCGAGTCATACCTTTCCGAAGGTTATTTGTTCGAAAGTGAATATAATGATCTCGACCGAAATTCGAACTCGACTCGTCGATTTCCCGTTCGGAGCCTCTAAACGTTGCACGTCCTGCTGCAATGAACTGGAATCCAAATCTGCATCAACATCTAGGTCTATTTACTTGAGTCTGTCGTTTCTTTATTGTCAGACTAGTTCAACCTCATTGTTGTAATGGCCGACCAATTTTCTCGAGTTTCAATTAACTCGAACAGACATTTCTCAATAACAAGCATCTATGGAGGCATTTAACAAATGAGATTCTTGCCATGGCAATGGTTTATCTGTAGGTCGACCAAAACAGCAGAAGTGAATGAAAGAATACGTCAGCCTACTTGATATTAGTTTTAATTCCGGGCATTCTTTTTCTGTCACGATACATATAATAACCTGCATCTGTCTGTAAATAAATCAAATGCCATGTCCCCCCAGGGATGTAGAAATATTCGGTTTCTTTATCTTTTTGATACTTACAGTGGAGGTCTAATTTAAATATGGGAAGAGTGGAAACAATAAATGTAACAAGGTTATCCATATTGAAATTATCACAAGAACGGTGCGGGTGGTGTGAGAAATCGGAGAATCGAGTTCGAATTCCAGTCGAGTTCGTTCCATTCATTTACGCTAAAGATATGTATGAATCCATCACGTCTATCCCCACCCCAAATTACAGCCATATCACGTTGAAATGTTGCTTCTCGTAAGATCACCGAAGTTAAGCAACATCGAGCCTGGTCAGTACCTAGATGGGTGACTGCTTGGAGATACCAAGTGCTGTAAACTTGGATGTGCGGATGATGTGATGGATAACGGATAGGAATTGGAAATCAGAGAGCCGAATTCCAATCCCAGTCGGGTTCATTAGATTCACTTCCGCAGCAAATCCCCCTTGGGAAGGGTAGCAATCCATATTATCCCACCAGCTATGGGTTAATTCGTACAACTTGTATCAGTAAAAATCATTATTAACGCAAGAAAATTCTTACAATCTAAAAATATTTTCTGCCTTTAAATAACCATCAAAAGATTGATAAGCCGTAAAAGACATCAATTAATTAACCATCTATCATCATGATTTCTCTCTGGATTAGATATCAGACCGTTTTGACTAAGTCACGATTCTTTACTGGTTGTTATGTTTTCTGTTTTTTTCTTTTTTACTAATGTTCATCCAATACAAGGCCCAAGAGCCACTCAAGGTAGACGGTTACTGTGTGGAGTTACATCAGCGTAGGAAAGAACAAACATTAGGTGCATAGAACTTGAAGCAAAATTTAGAAGGAACCCGAAACCTGATCCTAAACAGAAAACAAGGGACAAAACCTCAACTCATTTTGCTTTTACTCTAGCGGCTTGGCCCCTTGTTTTTGGTTTTCTTTTTTTCTTTGACATTTCTTTCCAAGATTTCAGTACATAATTGATTAAAAATAAAAACGGGTCATCTATTTCAAATACGAGTACCAACTCTAATAACGTTTGAATTAATTAAAATGTCAGGTTCAAAATGAATCCATTGATTCTTTAGAAATTGCTTTGTTTACGTTTCGGATATGAAACTGAGTAGATATGGCTTTTGAGAAAAATATTTGAATGAAGAAATGTGCTTTTCTTAAAAGGTTCGATCCCTCCTGCCGCAGAGCACATTTTCTTTATTAAGATTTCTCGAATGCGCACTCCGATATACGTAAAATAAAAATCTGGCGTCTATTTCAAATACGTGTATCCATTACAATAACGCTTGAATTGAGATATATATATATCCGTTGGTATATAATCCAAGTGAATCCTATTAACACAATATAAAATATTAAATATTAAAACTGATTCACACATGGAGTTCAATGTTTTTATAATAAACAGAGCAATATATATATATATATATAATCTACATACACTCTCTTCCCCTTCTCTCTCTCTCTATGTATGTAACAGCATTTATAGTTGAACAGAGTAGGTAGTTACGGAAAAAAAAGTTGTTTTCCAAAATGTGCACTCACGTAATCTCTCCTCCCCCAACCATTGTTTCATGCCATGAATGAAATATTTTACTAATAGAATCGAACACAAGAAAAAGTGGATTCAATTCTTTACCAAAACCCTTAATGCGAAGATAATATAAGCGGATTTTCTTTTCACTGTTGCTAACGTTTGCATCATACCTTAAAACACATAAATTAGCAAGAATCCAAATTAAATTATCGAAGAAAGATAAAAGAAAGTTGATGAATAATATAAACAATGTTTTGTACAGAACTATTTATGGTATGTGAGGCACAGTCACTAGTGAGGGGGAAGGTTTCTATGTTACAATGCTGTTAAGGACAGTAATTACTGACATAAGATTGAAAGTTCCAGATAATAATTTCTAGCGTGGCATAAAAAATATACCAGAAATTGCACTTAATAGAAGTAAAAATTGTACAGCCCCTTTTGTTTTCTATATGAAAAGGAAGGTCGACTGTGCACGAAATTGCTCAATAGAAAGCAACGAATAAAAATGGCGTAAGTATCTGAATAGTAACTCTAATAAACCTCCAAACCGATTCATTTCAAAACTCGTCAGGAGTACAAGAAAGAAAGGAGCGAACCAATCTGTTTAATCTTTACTTAGACTAAGTATGCTCTGAAATGAATGCAATGATAATTGTTGGAGATTCCACAGAAGAAACACATGGGAATTTTCTCAATTCTACGAAACTCCGGAGTCGGGATGCTGAAAGTAACATCAATCTAATAAGTGACAAATTTTAATGTTAATTCTAAATAGATAGATATGAACAAGCTGGGATAGATAGATAGATAGATAGATAATCAAACGACTGAGATAGATAGATAGATAGATAGATAGATTCTAAAAATGCTTGTTTGCGCCAATCTTCTAATTGGGGAGAAATTGCTATTCGTGAGAATGAATATTCAAAAGTTTTTGGGACCTAGTCTCGAACACCGACGGAAAATACAGCATCTATCTAATCTACGTCAGTACATACCAAATTTGTGTGATATGAATTTAAGAAGAGGCGGTAGGAAGTGAAAGATATGAGGATAAAGAGGATAGATAACAACTGACCTTTGATTTCACGAGGTCAAGATTGGAGTGTTCAAGGAAGACAAGAGTTTGTTCCACAAATTGTCCGCGTGGAACGTTCTTATATTTTGAACACACAGGAAATGTGTGTGTCTCGAATCCGTTGAAAGTAGCATGGCGAGTCCGAACTTTAAAGGTATGGGGTTGTTGTGACTTCAGAATGGACATCGTCTGCGTATTTGTATTTGTAGAATACGAATTCACTTATTTCTTGGATAAATCTTATTGAAGAGTTGCTTAAACTGAGGCATATTTATTTCTGATTAAATATTTCGCTAACATCATTAAAATCTTTCTGTTATGATAATGGTAGTATAATGATTAACGTGGAGACACAGACTGTGGAATTGGAGAGCCGAGTTCGAATACATTCATTTACATTCATTTACGTACTAATACCATTGGGAAAGGTATGAAGCCAGTTCTTCTCTCCCTAGCTATAGTAAAAATAGCAGGGCAGACTGGCTCCTATAGCCGTGGGTGGCAATTAGTCTAAGAGGAGGGAACTTTAATTGCAATATCCTAAAAGTGTCTGTACATGCTGCTGGGGACGGCTTGTGAATTTAAATTCCCATTGAGATCAGACTTCGAATTCCGGTTGTCTTCATTACATCCATTTTCGCACAAATACCTTTGAGAAAGGTAAGAATTCCATATACACCCCCCCCAGCTTTAGGTTAAATAATGGTAATGGTAATGTTAGTCGTTTCCTTATAAAAAAACAAACAAACAAAAAAACATTTGGCATTCATTGACCGAGCAAGCCAATACTTCTGTCGGTTGAAATACATAAAATCCATCTCTTAAAATAATTTTTCAGGAAAACAGGTTTATCAAGTTCAGTAGGTGTTATCACCTTTTCCAGAACTGATGGGTGTTTCCTTTCTAACCTTTTACTTGAGTAGTTTGGAACATCAACATCTTGATTATATCATTCTCTCTTTGAGTTACATGTGCTATCCATTTTAGTTGTTGCTGCTGTTGGTAGTCCTCAACTGATGTGGTTTCTGTTACCTTTCTGATTTTGTAGCATCAGTTCACGAGGATAGTCTTCGCCAAGCTACACAGACTTCACCCGCTTGAAGTCATTTCAACCATTGATCTTCGGAAGCGATTGTATACAACTGACAGTTTCAATATTTCTGAACGGGTTTGACGCCATGAATGACATCCATATGAAAGTTTTGATCTGGTGAGGCTATTTAAGAACATGCCACAAGTTTTCCGGTTAAATTAGTGTTGTAAGCTAGAAAAGGTTAGTGAATGAGGAATAACCAAAACGGAGGTTGGAACTGAAATGGTAATCTTTCATGGACGTCGTAATAACCTTTTCAGCCATGGAAGCTTTGGTGATTAAAGCAGATCGCAAATCTGTAGTCATTTTACAATTCTTTCTTCTCTGATTCTCTATTGTGTCATCTTTCATGGACGTTGTTATAATCATTTCGGGCATGGAAACTTTACACACACACACACACACACACACACACACACACACACACACACACGTCACTCTCTTTCTAGCTTCTCTTTCTCGCCCTTTTGGTTTCTGCTTCTTTTTTTCACCTCCTCTCTCTGTCATCATCTCGTTCCTCCTGCAATCTTTCTTTTTATTCGTATCGTGTGCCTTTTTCATTTCGTCTTTCATTCTCTTCACATTTCTACTTCTCTATCAGTCCTTCTCCTTCTCTTACTTTTAACCTTTTTCTTTTTCTATCGATGCTTCTTTCTTTCTTTCTTTCTTTCCGTCATTTTTTTTTACTTTCTCTTTTGGTCATCTGGTCATTAATAAAATTTCTCTTTATCTATGAACGTGTAACATTTTGCCCTACGCGACCTTTAGGATTTCGTCTTCAGTGGATGAATATCCTTAAATTACAGATCAGAAAGTCATTTCCCTAACGTGGCATGTAACTAACGTGGTAACTAACCCGTAAATTAAGACATAAAAATGCTTATCGACTTTTGTTGCTATAATATCCGCTATTTGACACATATTAACTTTCACACCTATAAATACTCACATAAGGCAACGCATGCGCAAACACATTTCCTTGCTAGGACATTATAAAAAGTCAGCGTGACTTTTCAGCTATCAATAAACTTCTCTTTCTCTTTTACTCTTCCATTCTTTTCATTCTTTTCTCTCTCTCTCTCTCTCTCTACACTTTCTCTCTCTTACTCTTTGCCTTTCCTTTTTTTCTTCACTTTATCTTTTTCTTTCCTGCCCCCGCCTTTTCCAGTTTATCTCCTGTCATTCTTATCCACTCCCCGCTTTCTCTTTCTATCTTCCCCACTCTCTCTTTCTTTCTTTCTTTCTTGACACAATGATTTAATTTGAAGTTATATGTAAATTAACCTTTTTTTTTTACAAACTGAACATTCTATTTTTTTTAATCATTTTACCCTCAAGCAAGGCAATAAAGCCACTAAAACGCAGAGGTTAGTGCGTATGCGAAAAATAAGAAAAAGAAGCACTATTAAACAGAGAGAGCAATAAAAGAACAAGATTTAAGACGGAAAATAATGACTGACACTGCATTTAAGTTTTTGAAGATCAAAATTGACTTGGAAAGATGAAGCTGGAAGAGTGTCCCACAAGCGAGAAGTGTGACAGAAGAAACTATTAGCATAGAACTTACGGTTACATTTAGCCATTTCAACTGTAAAAGGATAAAACCGCCAATCTAGG